AAATTTAAGTTGGGATTAGTTATGCTGGTGGAGTGTGTTTTGAGACCAGTTGGAAAAATCACTGATTATAGAACTCTTGGCATGGTCTAGTACCTTGATGAGTTTCTTGCGTATTCATGAGGTTGAAAAACATATTTTGTTTTGTTAAATTCACTGCAAGAATAATAATAGAAAAGAGTACAACAAAATGAACAAACAGACAGTAAGTATGCATTACAAGGATATTCACTTACATTCCAGGTATTTTTTTCCTATTATTTTATTGACTTATTATGTATAATTTATTTGTACAAGAAATAATAATTATTAATTTTAATTTTGTTGCAGTATTGGCTATATGAAGTATTTTCAGATACTGATAAAAACTTTTGACAACATAGATACAAAACACCACAGAGTCCACGAATGTAGAAGTGGATGCCGAATTTAATATTGATTGAGAAAATGGTTAAGCAATTTTTTGGCTACTCAAAATGTATGATTTTTTTGAAGAGCGTACAGTTACATTTACATTTAACTACTTAAAAATTAAATTCAACAAAATAATTCTGATATTTTATTATGATTAAAATCCATGTAATTATAGAGTTACAGTCTATGAAAGAAGAATTAGAGACATCATGGTATAGAACTTTTCAGTGCCAGATGACAATCACAATAGTAAATCAGATGATATTGTTAATGGAAAATTAGACAATGTAGCACAATAGATCTCGAAAAACATCTATGTGCAAGAAACGAACATTCCAGTACTTCAAGAACTTCAACTAGAGTTGGGCCTAGTTCTACTTTTGGTGCCTCCAATTATGTAACTCAAAACCAAATGGAAGAAATGTTAGGTATGTACAGACAACATATAATATCATATGTTTCCGGTCTATATGACAACTTGAAATCAAAAAACATTGAGAACCAAAAATAGTTGTTTGAACAATACTAAAAAATGGTGGGAAGATTACATGGAATCTGGTATGCATTCTTACATGGATAGTTCACTATCAACTTTGTTTAACACACATATTGCTAAGGAATCGTAAAATCAAGAAGCTCATTATCAGACTATTCTTGAGAATTAGAGACAATTATTCCAACAACAACAAAAACGGTAAGAAGATATTACCAGAGCATTCAATTTTATGTTGATACTAGTTTAAGTTCGATAAGATCTTACGTTGATGAAAAAAATAAGAATATGCTAAACAAATTATTTGAATGTGAATCAAACGTGGAAGCAATTATTTGCTTTATACAACAAGACGTTCCTATATGCACAAGTCCAATTCCTAGTGATCAACTAAAGGAGATGTCAACATTTCAACAAATTGAAAGTTTTGAAAAGTTGAGAAATGAAAAGAAAAATAAAGGAAAATAGATGCAGTCTTCGTTATCCGGAGGTTATCCTTTAGAAGACTATCTCATGGAGAAGTACACAACAATTAGATATTGGATATTGAAGAATCAATCGGGGTATCAAATCTAATTCTACTTTTTTAGCTCAAATACTAAAATTTTCTTTCGATTTATTCAACACTAATTTAAATTACGCTATATAATACATATTGGGATGATGGTATTGGCAATGTCTATGGAAGAGACATGTTGAAAACTTTAATGGATCCAACAAAAGATATGAATGTTGTGGTGAGTAAAGTTTAGCAATCACAATCAATTTCATTTTATACTTAATATATCTAATTTATATCTATTTATTCTATTAGAATATTGACCTAGAGTTAAAGTTATTGAGGTGGCTCATTAATGATGGTTGCACTCTCGTTTCTAAAGAATATGCAATTATCTACTTTAAATTTGAAGAAGAGTGTGCTTGTCTGAGGATGTGGTGAATTGACACACAAATGGGAACAACCATAGGTCAATCGGATGGAACTCTTTTAGAAGAATATGTAAATGGCAAATTGCCTATAGGTGGTCATCCAAGGATAGGGTGCAAGTATCTATTAATTCTGTGCTCATATCTAGGCAATAGTTGGTATCTTTTTCTCATCAATATTCCTGAATGGAAATTTCAGATATATGACTTCACCCATAATGTTCATACACTAGATCAAGTCAGGGCATATGCAAAAGCAACATTTAGTGAGGTCCAAACATATTTACTGTCTTCAATCCTTTCCACCAGATGAGATGTAAGGAAATATAGAAATAAACAAATAGAGCAAGAGATTATACCTTACCTACCCTGTGCAAACAACGGGTGAGCATTTGAACAACTTCATATTTACTATAATATTTAACTTTTCATATATACTAACATAAAACTATTTTTTCTACAGGTCAAACTGTGTAAATTTTGTACTCAAATATATAGAATACTTTGTTCTAAGGCATCCAATAGAATCAGTTTTCATTAGACATAATGACTATATAAAGACGAAAAATTGCCGTGGATGTTTGTTATAATGAATATTTTCTTTATCCCTATCCGTCCTCTTGATTGTAATGGATGATCATAATATACTTATCCAAATGTTATTTAACAAGTTTCTGTATTTTTTTTTCCCTTTTTTTGGTAATATGTCATATTGTTGGTGTTTGCACAAAATAAAATCAAGTGAAGCTACTATAAACCCAAAGTAATGGAGGTGTATTTAATGTGAGCCATTCATTTTGCGTGGTTTATGTCTTCATCGATTTACAAGTTGAATATTCATATTTATTTTCAGAAAATATAAATAACTTGCGGTATATTTTAAAATTTGAGAAAGATGATGAAAAAGAAGAATTAAGCATATTAGCAAACAAAATATAATTGAAATGGAAAATAACATACGAGAATTACTAAACTTATGTAGCTCATTGTTATTCTCTTGAAGTAGGATGTTTACTATAGAAAATCTTCTCTTTGGACTAACAATAGAATGATAAATTAAGTGCTCAACAATTCGTAATTCTAGACTTGTTAAATAATATGTATTAAATTCAAAATTTCTAGGTAAACCACATTTTTTGTGCAACAAGTATGTAATTTATTTTCATCCGTTGGTTTAATAAAACTTTTATATTCTGTCTTGTTTTCGCTCTGTACAATGCAACATATAGCTAACCATGCGAAAACATAGGTTTCGGCAGATATAGTCTAACAAAATCTAAAGTTTGACCTTTGGCTTTATTAATAGTCATCGCAAAAGAAGAATGAATGGGAAATTGAGTTCTTTTAAAGGGCATCTTATGCTTATCTCCTTTAAGTGGAATAAATGGAATTTTAGGTAAAAATACTTGTTTTTCATGATATTCATCAGTTCCAATTTTATCTAAAATAACATTTCATTTAAATTCGCAATAAATTAGTCTAGTTTCATTGTACAAACATTTTGAAGGATTAATATTTCTAAGCAACATAACAGGACAATTTCGTTTAAATACAAGTTCTTGTAGAAGGATACAATTTGGAGTTAGACTATTCAAAAAATCTTTATAAATAAATCCTTTCGTTTTAGCAATCACTTCATTAAAACTAAAATATGTAAATATATCTCCTGAAATTTCTTTAACTAACATATTGTTTATCATATCGACATATTCATTTTTTGGAGTCAAAATAATTCTATTTATCATAGTATTCAAATTGTCACCATATGTGCAAAAATTTGGAAACACAATGCTCGCATTTTTTCAATGATTTATATTTATCTTCAAAACCTATCATGATATTTGAAGGATGCTTAATCATGTGACATGTATGTTCTTTTTCAATTTCGTTTCCAATTTTGAGTAAATATTCACAAAACAAAGGATCTAATCTAGCTCTTATATTTTCAATTAATGGTAGTTGTTTAAAATATTGTCATAAATATGAAATGACTAAACTTATTTTCATGATATCATCTTTTGTCCCTCATTCGACTACTGCAAAATCTGTTGGATATTTCTTCCATACACAATGACTTTTCTACCAAGTGGCAATTCATACTAAGTAATATCTTTTAACATTTTATCCCAAACTTCAAAAACATATTTATTAACCATCATTCCTTCATCCCACACAATTAGCTTTGTCATTTTTAAAAGTTGATCGAGTACATATTGTTTACTTACCGAACATCGCATATCAAAACTTGTTTGAAATGGAATTTTCAAACGTGAATGACTAGTTCGGCTAGCCAACAATAAAGTAACAGCCACTTCTGACGATGCTATTGCTAACGCAATGAGTTGTCGAGATCGTACTATAACAAGTAATGCCTTGTGCAAATTAGTTTTACCAGTACCTCTTGGACCATCAATAAAAAAATAGTCCATTTTTCTCTTTTAAAACATAATTTAAAATAGAATCATAAGCAAATTGTTGTTCTTTATTTAAGCTCTTTGTAAAATGCATGTCATACTGAATATTAACATTTGCAGTTTCTTCTAAAATCATGTTCGTTAACAAATCAGCATCATTTACAGCAACGTCAAAATCTGCCAAGTAAAAATTATTTACATTTTTACCAACAACTTTTAAGAATGCATTATGCATCATATAGCTCTAATCTCAGCATCATATTCTATTAGATTTGTATGTAAATAATCTTCTATCATGTACACTTTAAATTTAACCCACAAAATTTTAGGATTCGTAAGGCTATAAAAAAACCAACATATTAGCACAAAAGGCGATGCAATGATACAGGGATTTGATAAGAAATCGCCTCAATCAAACACATTTGATAATAATTATTCCCACTTATTAGACCATGTAAAAATGCAGCTTCGCGAGAAGTAAGTGCAACAACGCCATTGACTATTTTTAAATCTTGAAAATACTTTGGCGCTTTAATATGATTTAATAAAACTCTTAAAAAGTATCTCACTCTCAGGTGGATTAGCAGCAACTATTCTGCCAATAATATTTTATTTTTTTCTAGGACTCCAAACTCACAAATATGTATTCCATACAAAGTATGTAGAAAAATCTTTATAAAGTAAAGTCTGTGCCTTTTCATTCAAAATGTTCATTTTAAAAAATTCAGTTAACATTGTTCCTTGGATAGAGTAATTTATGATAAATCATCAATTTCATTGTACGTAACCAACTGAGCATCTTCAACATGTAACTGCAAAGAAAGTACAGAAGGAAATATGTCCAATAAATCAAAACCAAAAATTCTCCAGATGGCTTCTGGCACAGATATCCGTCTAACAGTTTGATTATTCGAAATTTCATCAATATAATGCTCTTTGGTTTCTTTATTCACAGTAAAATTAACAAGGTCATTTCCTTTGTATACATATTTGTATAAGTATTTGACAACTTTAACAGAACAACATATTTCAACATTAATGTGACAGTCATATTTAGCTAAAATATGAGAATTATATGGTACAACCTGTCTATTATCTAGCATGCATCCTCTGACTCTAATAGCAATACCATCGCTACGATGTCTATAAAGTGGGTATGAATCACTACCTAACGAAGTATGTAAATTGTATTCTTTTGGATGTTTATTTTTACAAGTTTGGTTGTTTTTCATGCAAATATTTGTAGGATTTAATTATCCACAAGGACCATGCATCATATGTTTGATCATAGTACCATGCAGGGAAGGATATCTTTTTGGTCTGGTATATCACAAGAAACAATTTCATCAGCTTGCATAGAGTAAGTAAACTTAAAATTTGATTTAAATATCAAAAGAAAATGAAAATGAGGTACACCTCTTTTTTTGGAATTCAATCACATAAACATACGCAGCTACAAGCCATAGAATTTCTCTCTTTAATAAATCTATTTTTAGTTCCTCAAACTTTGCTCGAAATATTCGAAGTAGTAAGTCTGGCCTATTTTGTATTTCATCATTATGTCTTAATTCTTGTCAATTTCAGGCCAATTCGGATAGCATGTCATTGTTAAAAATACATTAGGTTTTCCATAACTCTCAACTAAAGACATTATATCCATATATCTTTTAATCAAATTTCTTGGACCCTCAATAAACACTACAGGTAACACCATTGATTTACCAACTTTATGACCTCTATTCTTACCAATCTGTATACTATCTACAATTTCTTGGAAAAGTTTAGCTCTTATAACTTTTTGATTATTACGAAAATAATCAAATCTTGCCGTTTCAATCTTAACATGCACATCTACTGTATATTGCTGTAAAAGTCTACCTGTATGAAGAAGCACAGACTTATCTGAAAGCCTGATATGAAGTTTGTAGCAATAATACTCATGACATGATATATTCATTCTTTTATTTCCTTTCTTCAAAACTGGAAAAAAAATAAAGAATACGAAACAACTTCAGTGATGATAAAGCTTACCACGATCTTCCATTTTTAAAAATTGTTCGACTAAATCAATGCTTCTAATTTGTATTCAATTTTCATGGACTATCAAAGGAGTATTCAAATTGATCTTTTGGATACCTTCATGGCATCCAGGTTCTCCATAAATAAATATTAATGGATATTGAAATAGATCATAACAACCATAGTAGTAATTTACTTCATGTGCAGTAATTGAATGTTCATAAATTAATATATCATGAGTGTGAACATTTGTAAATGGGTCCTTATCAACTCATACTGCAGCCACCTGCTCACATGATGGCATATTATATAGTCTTTGGTCGAGACTTGGATCACACCTAAGTACAATAAGACATGAGCCAAAATCAAAAACTTCACTTAATGATTAAAAAAAAAAAAAAAAAGAGGTCTACCTCGTAGTTGCGTATGTTTATGTGATTGAATTCCAAAAAATTCCAATCCCATAGCATCAACATCTTTTCAAGTTGGACTTGGGCTGAAGTGGTAAGGTGCAATTCATCATTTTCTTTACCTCCAATCCCATAGCATCAACATGTACTACATTTGAAAGTTTGTCCCCATTTGGGCCTCTTATATATATTCAATTGGTAATATAGTGCTTCTTTGATTTTGAAGTTTATTGTGTAAAAGTTGTATTATTTTTCTCCATATGTATTCATAACTGCCTAGGCAGTGCTCATCTAAAATATGGTTTATTGAAGTTTGAATTGGGTCAATCTAAAATATGAACTAAATAAATATCCTGACCCCAAATTAGAAAAATAAGAAAACATTCAAAACATTTTTATTTAGTTTATATGCTTTGAATCTTTAAAGCCTTGCAACTTATGCATTAATTTATTTTAAACAAGAAAATTATATACGTAAATTTAAAACGATAATAAACGTATAACTCGTCAATGTAAAAAATAATAAGAGCCTAAGCAAAAGAGTTCATGCTTTCATAAGTAAACTTACAATCTAATTTTTATTTTGTGTTTCATTATTCTGGTTAAAGAAATAGTTCAAACTATTCATATATTTCAAATCTCAAAATAAATATTCTCATAAATATTTCAAATTTTTTATACAGCAATTTGAAGCAAGTCATGTGATAGAAGGAATTAAAGGAGATAATAAATAGGGCTGAAAATTTATTGAAATTTCTTTTTCAAGTAAAAATTATCATATTTATTCTTTCTTCCATCTGTGGAAATTTCAATCTAACAATGAATTAGGAGTCCTTTTTGTTGTAACTTAAAATTAAGTTTTGACCTTTCGATAATTAAACCATTTAATTTTCAGTTTTTATTTATTTAATAATCATTTTTCACACAATTAAAACATCATAATTCATGTTATAACCTCTATTTTAATGACTTAATTGTGGGGGTTGATTTTACCTATAAAAGGAGGTGGATTTTTCATTGTTTTACACAACAAAATCAAATACAATATACTCTCTAGTCTTTTCATACATCTCCCTTTTCATACTACTCTTTAGTCATTTTATATTATCTTCCATTCTTCTTTTATAAAATTTTGGCATTTGCTAAATGCTCGTTCAATTTTCTCCCTATAGCCATGTCCATAGAAGGAGAGCCACATGGATTTTATCTTGGAGCTGTGTAGTGCCGAAAGAACCCACATGAAGGGAAGGTAACACGACTTTAGGATAGCGTCGCCGACATGTCTCCTAAGGCTTGATTTTCTAACCCTATTATTATTTTATATTTTTGTTGAATTATGTTTATGTCTAATTGATTATATGATTATGCTAATTTCAAAATAAATCTACATAAAAATCACCCAATTTTCCCAACAATCTAAAGTCGTGTTTGTGATTTGTATGTGACGATTCCTTTTATGTGATATATGTGTAAATTATTAGTTTTATGATCTCGAACAGTAACATTGGAAAATCCCCAAAGTGGCATTATCTTGCAACAAGTAGGGACTAGAACATCCTTACAAACTTATATCTATGTAAATGAAAATTCATCAATTTTTCGCTAAGGGCAGATGGTGTCGTGATAGCACCAAGAAATTATATAAAAAAAATTGCATTACTGATTTAGAGTAATAATACAAGGCAAATCAATGATGCATGCAATTGAAGCCGAGTATATCGGTAGAGGATTTTTTTTAAACATTCATGTGATTTGAATTTTGTTTAATCTGTCATTTTCCTTAGCATTATACTAAATCTTCCACTTGTGTTAAATATCTTTTATTAGCTTTGACATTGAAATAATTATATTGTTATAAACATAAAGAATATTGGGTGGTGGAAAGTGTGTTTTTAAAATGTGGAGGGATGATTTCATATTTCGGTTTCACATGAAACAAATCAATGTTTTGTCTGGAGCAGATCAGACTGTGGAAATAATTTTATTGATGAATAAATAAGATGGAGGAAACAATTAATTCTTCGCAATATATGAGGTAACTTCGTGTATATATGTTCTAATAAAAATTGTCACCATTGAATACAAGTTTTTACTTATTTGTTGTTGACAACAAAAGGAAAATATATTTTCCAAACTGCAGGTAAAGTCAAGTGATTTTTTATATAGTCATTAAAATTATTTGATGACCACAATTATGTTAGAACATAATTGTTATTCATTTCAAATTTTATTTGTTTAATTTTGTCCTATTGGTAATAAAAGCTATGAGTAAATGTTTCAAAAAGAAGTTTTATATTAGTATATAATATTGAAACCAGCACTTAGAATAATTAAGGTTATAATATTATTGTATACTATATATATATTTTTTGAAGTGATACATTGGTGATTATATACGGTGTAAGAAGTAAAGGGGTCAATTTAACTCGCTCTCAAGAATTTCCGATGAAGAACTATACTAAGATGTGACCCCTTGCGCACATGTACTAAAGTGTCAAAATTGGCGTATACTTTTACTTTGGTCATAAGTGTAATGTATGGGTAATTGAAGTGATAAGAAGAGTGAATACCGTCTCTTAGCATATTCTACTTTATTGCCTTAAAGCATTAGGTGTAGACTTTTAGGTTTTACTTTATTTTGGAAAAGAAACACTTGATGATGCCTAGGTTGTTGGTCATTTTCTCTAGCATGTGATTTTTATAAAATTTTGAAGAATAAAACTTATTGAAAATCATAGATGAATTATTGTCCTAAATATTGTAACATAGACCAATTTTAATTTTCTATTTTCTATTTTAATTATCTTTTAATGCATAATTAAAAAAAAACCCCATGATTTATATTGTAACCTATATTTCAATGGTCTAAATGTTTCTTTTCCTCCAAGACATAGTGCAAATGTCTTAAATCTATGAGGCAAAATGTTATGAGAATGTGAATTTAATTTGTGGTATTGTTTAATCTCATTTATAATTAGTGGCACCCCTACTTCGGTAGGTATTTTAAATATAATCAATTATTTAGTTATAATTTATTTTATGAAAATAATATTTTGCTAATGTGTTGAATAAGAATTTGTGGATCTATTGGTCGATGAAAATCATGAAAGTGTGGGAAACATGTGCATTAATCATCTCCATGCAATGTTGGGTCATATCAAAATAGATAAATTGTAAGATTGGATACTCACTCTATTCAAGTTGAATATCTTTGGAATGTGGGGGTATTTAAAAATTTAAAATAGATGCACCTTACATACTATGTTGTCAAATTGACTCTTAAAATGTGTTAAAAAAATTAAATTGTAGATTTGCAGGTGAAATACAAGAACTCAATGGATGCATATACTCAAACATGTTACTAGAAGTCAATTTTTAAATTTCATATGTTTATCGTATTATAATTAAACGTGTTATTGATATTTTGGAAAATTTAAGAAAACTTTGCAAGTGTTCAGGTTGCAAGCGAAGAATAAAGCTTGTATATTGATGTTACCAAATTATTGTCCAAGAGGGACATGAAATAAATTATAGTCCAAAATAGGCATAATAAATCATCGAGGGGGATAAGTTTAAGCCCATAAGGGAGCCAACTCCGGGAGTAACCCAACCTTCATGATTGGAGATCCCATGAAGAAGGTTCAATGTGGTGTAAAAAACCCGTACTGCGTGACTCGTAATAGTACTAGTTATATTGTGCTCATCCCCATGGTGATAGTGTTAATAATAATGTGATGTTAGGAAGGGTTTAACCCTGAATGAGTATTGAGGTGAGAATTCTCACGAGATGTGGGTCACACATACCCTTGGAGGACTCACCTATGTAAGAGTTGTCATGAGGCCGTGGCTATGGGATTGGACTATTCTCTCGAGATTCTTACTAGAATCAAGATTAGAGCGCATGGCCATTAAAAGCGCTACCCGTTATGAACTAGAGCAATCGATACTGTGTATGGAACAATTGAAATTTGATCAAAGGGATCTAATTCAAAGCTTAGTCCATTATGGCTCCCTAAAATGGAAATTCTTATCAATAAGTGAGGTTCAAGTCCAAAAGATACCTACACCTATTGCACAATATTATGTTGCCACTATTATATATTTTTTAATTATTTTGAAAGTTTAAAACTTGTGGGGGATTGTTGTAACTTAAAATTAAGTTTTAAACTTTCAACAATTAACCCATTTAATTTTCAGTTTCTATTTCTTTAATAATCATTTTTCACACAATTAAAACATCATAATTCATGTTATAACCTCTATTTTAATGACTTAATTGTAGGGGTTGATTTTACCTATAAAAGGAGGTGGATTTCTCATTGTTTTACACAACAAAATCAAATACAATATACTTTCTAGTCTTTTCATACATCTCCCTTTTCATACTACTCTCTAGTCATTTTATATTATCTTCTATTCTTTTTTTAATAAAATTTTTACAATTGATAAAGGTTCGTTCAATTTTCTCCCTATAGTCGTGCCGATAGAAGGAGAGCCACATGAGTTTTATCTTGAAGTCATGTAATGCTGAAAGAACCCGCATGAAAGAGAGGCAACACGACTTTAGGACAACGTCGTCGATGTGACTCCTAAGGCTTGATTTTATAACCCTATT